ACCAACCCCGCCCCGACAGGCCCCAGCCTGGGGGTGAGCCGGCCAGAAGCACGTCCCTAAAAAATCAGTTAATGGTGGGGACAGCGGGTGCGGGGTGCACCACATCGGGGGTGCCCACGGGCACCCAGCCCTGAGCATCCCTTCAGCCCAGCACCGACATCCCGCATTGCCCCCGAGTGCCCCGGGCCGGGGTCCCCAGGGAGAGGCTGGGGGCTGCCACGCAGCATGGCCCTGGGTATTTATTTGGGGCTCATGGCATCGCAGGGGGAAAACCGCAGGTCAGGGGGGTCCAGGCCGCCACTGGCGTGGTTTTAACTTCAGAGATGCTCCAGGCACAGGGACCCCCAGCCTGACAGCACGGTGGAGGGGAGCCCAGCCTGGGGAATGGGACAAGGGGGGACACTGCCACCTCCAAAGGTTTTATTATGTCTGGGGGGCGTTTCTTAAGCCCCAGCTCTTGGCAGCCTGCGAGACCCCAGGCTCTTACTGGAAATATGGGTGTGCTGTGTCTGGCATCTCCTTCCCCACATAGGAGAGGCTCCTTGAGCCCTCCCCAGAGGGAAGGGTTTGCACGGGGGGAGGAAAACAAATCCTCTGAAAACTTTCCTGTTGGCTTTTGTTGTTGTTTGTTGGGGAAAAAATAATCTCCCGGTGAGGTGGTGACTGGGTGTTGCCCTTCCCTGCAGGCAAACACGAGGAGCAGCAGGTGGAAGGAGGGATCGTCTCCAAGAACTTCACCAAGAAAATCCAGTAGGTACCAGCCGGCCCTGGGGCGTCCCCCCGCCGAAGGGGCTGGGGCTAGGGGGGGTGCCACATCCCCTCAACTAGCACCCAAATGTCACTAGCCTGCTGTGGGACCCCGTCCCTGCGGCACCGGCAGGTCACAGGCAGCGCGGGGATGCCATCGGCGGTGAAGGGTTGAGCTTTGCCAGTCCCCGCACCCCAGCTCACGCATGCAGGGACTCCTGTGCCTGTTTTCATCCCAAAATCTGCCCTTTTGAGGCACGGGCCTGGCTGGTTCGGGCCACACAGTGATTTCCCGAGGGAGGTAAAAGAGGAGGAGGTCTTTTTCTGGGTGCTTTGTCATTCTCCTCCAGGCCCGGGGCTGCATTTGGAGCCGTCTGGGGCACAGGGAGCAGGAGGAGTGCAAAGAGCCACACTCACAGTGCCAGCACATCCCCCGGGGTTCAGCAGGGCACGATGGGCTGACACCATTGTCAGCCCCAAAATACATCCCTGTGTGTGAATGTGTATATATATCTCTGTCTGAATGATGTCAGTTAGATTGCTATTGCGTTGACTCACCACGATGGCTCACTTTGGCAACAGCAGCGGCAAAGGGCAGGGAGGAAAGGCGAGTCCGGAGGCAGGCGAGCCCCAACTGCAGTGCTTCACCCATGTGGGGGGCAGACCCCCGGCCGCAGGGCTCGCGGGGTTAACAGGGAGAAGCAGCAAAGCCCAGGGCATGGGAAGGGATTCCTCAGCTGGCAGCAGCTCAGCTTTGCTTTTCCACCCCAGAGGAGCCCTGTGCATCCCAAACTCCCGCGGGAAAGCTGGGGTGAGCACCGCGCTCCCTCCTGCTCGGCGCTCGGCAGCCGTGGCGGCTCCTTTTACGGGCAAGGCTTGCGGCTGACGCGGGCTGCGGCACAGCGATGATTTACTCCTGCTTTGCAGAAGCCTGGGCGGCACAAGCGGCGGGTGACATCCCGTCAAACACATCTGCCAGGGAGATTAAACAGGGCGCCCACAGGGGCCAGGCCGGCCAGGAGGCCGCTTTAAATATCCCCGGCACATTCCCAGGCGCTACAGTAATAACGTAGGCTTTGCCGAGCCCCACGCCAGGGCTGCTGGCTCGGCATTGGTGGTTCCCCAAGTGCTGGGGTTCCTGCGTGGGCTTCCCAAAGGTCGATGTCCACCAGGGATGTGGCATGCTGCGAGCCGGCAGCCGCCCCGGCCCCCCAGCTCCTAAACCATCTCGTCTTTCCCTCCTTCCTGCAGGCTGCCCTACGAGGTGGACCCCATCACGGTCTTCGCCTCCTTGTCGCCAGAGGGGCTGCTGATCATCGAGGCGCCCCAGATCCCCCCCTACCCGCAGTACGGTGAGGGCGGC